CTAATTTTCGCAATTAAAGACAACCGATAAATTAATTGGTACCAAAAGGGCGGTTCAAGGGTGCTAATCCTTCCTTGACCGTAATCGACTCCCGAACCCGACATGTTTTTGGTACAACGCAGATCAGGTAAGATGGTGTCCGATCCACCTAAATTCGTTTTAAAGTGGTCGGTGGCGACTCCCAATTTGTTTAATCCAAGTCGAAGCCCAATTCCGGGTCCAACTGAAAGACGGTTGCGACAGTAACCATCTCGAATCTCTTTAGATGTAGGACAAAGGAGTTTTTTTGGGGGGTTTCTTTTCCTTTTCACGTGAAAGAGAAAGAGAGAAGATAGGGAGAAAAGAGAGAATCGGCGAGGAAGGGGAGAAAAAATGGGAGCTAGAGTTAAACATTTTATAATGGGGTATTTAAAAACTACCCAAAATGACATAGTTTTGGGCTTAGGGCAATCAGGTTTGGGGTTTTAATGGTTAATTGTGTAAACACTCCGCCCAGCTTAAATTTGTTTCAATTTAGTCATCAATCGAGGCTTTTATGCATTTTAATCTGGCATTTTAATTTTATGCGTGTTGTAGTTTTTGTCACAACCTTAATTTTTTATGGATTATTTACATGTTTAATGTATGCTACCTTAATTTCTTTCTATTTAATCTGAAATTAAAGTGTATAATTATATAGTTGGCCACTGTTGTTGCTGTTTATTCAATTTTTGTCCATAAAATTTCCATTATTTTGATTTTGAGTTATCTGTGTGCAATGTTTTATATTCTGGTCCATTTTTTTATTAAATTTCTTACATACGTATATTTATATCATTACTTGTTATATTTATACATTATAATATATATATATATATATATATATATATATATATATATATATGCTTATTTAACTTCCATAATTACTTTTCTTTGCACTTTGACCATAATATTTATAAGCATCTTAATTTATTCCTTAATTTTAGTTATAGATAAGTACCTCACTTTTCAATTAAAGTCTTTCCTTTTTTATTTGTTAACCTTCCATTACTATGTTTTGTCTTAAGCATTCAACAAGTATATTTTTTTATTACGTTCATATTAGCCTCTATATTATTATTGTTCGTTGTTATAATACATAGGTATTACTCTAGAATAGATTTATGTTACAGTATTATATATAAAAATTTCTTTATACAGTATTATATTTATTTTATAAATATAATATTTGTTCGAGTAATAAGTGCTATATTTGCTTGATTCAAAATATAGTCAATGTCATCTTGTAAGATTAATTTATGGAAGCCTCCAAACATCTGGAGTGTACCTCCGAGGATTATTTCGAACAAGAGATCCCTTCTCTTTTCATACTTTTAGTAATAAAATTATTTTAATAAAAGATGAAGTTATATTTTATTTTATGATAACGTCTCGAACAAATGGCGATATGTAGGGAAGCATCCAAAAACTTGGATTGTGATCTCTTAAGACGCAAACGTAAAAAAATAAAATCTCACCATTTTTTACATTTTTGATAAATAAATATTGTGTTTTTATTATTATTTATTTTTGTTTTTTATGTTATATTCCATATTTCATGCATCGTGTATATAACACTTATTAATGTTGCATTCATAAATCATGCATTTATTTTTTATTTTCTAAATTGATTGAAGACGATGTTGTCTTGCATCGTAAGTTAATATAATTGCGTCCAACATGTCTAGATTTCAATTTCCGATAATTCAGGTAGTAAGGGGGCATCCTTTTTAAAATAAACCCGAATGAATTAAATCGTTTTCATCGATTCAAGTATTAAAAAAAAGGAGATTCACTCATTTTTAATTTATCGAAATTAAAGGATCGTGATTTTAAATTTTGAGTTCAAATTTGGAAAATTCCATCATTTTAGACAATATATAATCGAGTGTATCAATTTTGGGTGTTGAGGGGTTGCTCAGCCTTCCCCATGCGTAACCATCTCCCGAATCCGCAAAAGATAAATTTCTAATAACACAGACCAATTTTTGTCTTAAAAACAATTTTTCTTAAAATTGTTTTAAAAAACATTTTTTAGGTATTCGACCTACCTAACCCAAAGGTCGATGGCGACTCAAAATTTCAAATTAAATAAAAATTCAAATTTTCTAAAATAAAGTCATAATTATTTTAAATTTAATTTTTCAAAAAAAAATTATGATAGCTTGGCGACTCTAAATAAACAAATTTTGACAAAAGACGTCCCCTTTATATATATGATAGAACCAGAAAAAAATTCATTGTCTTTTTATCTTTGTCCTATTATTGTTAACACAAGAATGAATAAATGGATAAAGAAAGACAGCCGTAGACACCTGTTTTTTTCCGGGTTCTAATCATTTTGTATTTTATTATTAATATTATTATATATATTTAGATATTAAAATGTTTTATTTTATTTTTACGGACCCAATTAATTACAACAAGGTACATTTGATCTTTGAAAAAAATGTTGAGATGAACATGAATACCACATATATACCTAAAAGCATTTTTATACTCAAAAACGCTTTTACACCTAAAAGCATTATCAAGCACTTGACTTTGGGGGGTAAAAGTGTTTTTAGAGTGCACTTGATGAATTTTTCAATATCTAAAAATGCATTTGCTACAAAGAATACAAGACAATATGCTATCCCAACCAGAACAATCAATAACACAATAATTAAATCTTAAACCCTAAATCTTAAATCTCAAATTATAATCTATAAACTCTAAGATCACGATATCTAAATTTTAATTCACACACTCATGTCTATAATTATAATATCTAATCTCTAAAATACAAACATCAAAACACAACACACGCTTACACCCACACTCAATAATAGATCTAGAAATAATTTTAAGTGGTCATACATATATATTAACCACACAAATGTTTTATGTGGGGTGAACATAAATAAAATATTATGGTGTTACAATTAATAAAATTAATAAATAAACAAAATTCAAATTTTTAGTGGGCACGTGCCCACTCTATACTCTTTGTGGATTCACCACTACTCACACCCATCGTAGGCAGAGGCGAAGCTATGTTGGGGCCCGTCAAAGGGGCCTCGACCTCTGTAAATTTTTTATATGTTTGATAGATTTTAGTCTAATAGTATTTTGGTTCATGTAAAAATAAACATTTAAATTTAAAAATATAAAGATTTATTAAATATTTAATCAAATATGGGCCAAACTAAAGAAGGATAATTCCATGTTCTCAATTTTTTTTAGTCTAATAACAACTTAGGTAATTGTAAATTTAAATTAACAAATTAAATATTGTCTTATTATTTTAAGTTTAAATATTTAATAAGTTATTGTACTTTTTGTTAAAAACTTCAATATTTCGACAATTATCAATATTTAATCTTAATTCCGTCCGTAACTATAGGAGTTTTGAAATGAACTAAGGTTTTAAACGGGTATGAATTAAAGTTTATAATTTGGGATATGATTTGAGGTTTGAAAAATTAATTTTTTATTTTTAAAATATATTTGATATTAAATATCAATAAAATATGTTAAAAATAATATTAGAATAACACATTGTTAAATTAAAATATTTTAAAATCTAATGACTAAAATAATAGTAAAATGATAATTAATGAACTATTTAATTTATTCTTTAAATTTTTATTTATTTATTTTCACTTAATGTAAAGATTAAGTGAGTTTAAAACCCATAGGATAATTTCATTAATTTAGATATGTATTTAATTTAAATCATAAACTCTAATTATAAAACTAATTAAACTCTATATTTCCATCAATAGATCAACAAATAATCCTGTTTATGTTTAGGCTGGAAAACGAGGGTGGAAAACAAAGACAGAGACACGTAGGACAAAAATGGACCCCACAAAAACAAACGTTAAGAAAAGACTGGTTCTGGTTTGACCATTCCAAATTTATACAAGAAAATATAAAGGAACGATGAAGAAGAAAGGGCTGTGAGTGCCAGGTTTCCCCTTTCAAAACCTGACCTCCCCTCCACAGTAGGAGAAACGCTTTCCCCTCAAACATTCACAAACCTTAGGAATTTTCGAAGAAACCATTTTCTTATCGCGGCAGCAGCCAAATCCTGCCGGGTGCTTCAATGAAACAGGGGGTGTGGAGAAGCCTTCGACCCCTGGCTCTTCTCTCTCTCTCTCTCTGTTTCTTTTTTTATCATCTCGTTTTCTCCTTTAACCCACATTAACTAAAATCCTATCCCCCAGGTTTTTCCTTCTTCGCTTGAATCATTTTCCCATACGGTTTGTTTTTGTGTGGTTATTTTGGTATTGGAGATGAACCAGCCCCCATATTCAAGGTACCCCTTTTATTCTTTGGGTTTCAAGTTTCTTCATTTTTTTCTTGAAATTTTCAAACTTATTGAGTGTTTGGGTTATTTTTCCTTTGGGTCAAGTATCAATCATCTGTTCAATATATTTTTTTTATAAAAATTCAAAGCTTCAGCGGAGCATTGTCTCCTTTGTCCATCCCCCCTTTGTTTTTCTTTATTTCAGCCGTATATATATATATTTGGGTAAACTATATGTTTAGTGTTTCAACTATTACTTTTATTCTGTTTTGGTAATAAAATTATTCTTTTTAAAAAATTAATGATGACATTAATGTGTAAGGTAATTCTATATCATCATTAAAAAAATAAAAAATATTATATCAACAATTCTGTTAATTTGTTTTTTATCGGAAGATGATTAATGAAATCAAAACGTAATGTTATATATGCTTTTGAAAAAATAATAATTGAGTGATCAAAACAGAACAAAAGTGATAGTTAGGTTGCTAAATGTGTAGTTTGCCCTAGATTCTTTTAACGTGGGAATAGCTCCATGGCTTTTTTTTTTTTTTTGGCTAACAGTTAACTGAATTTCTTTTTTGTCTGTTTTACTTTCTTTCTTTCATTTTTTGGGTATTGAATGCAATGTAAATATAACATTTCCATTTGGTTTTTCGAAAATCAGGAACTAAAGCAAGGAAACTGTATTATGAGTAGCTGCATTGATATCCACCATTGAAGGATAGATTTGGAGCTTCTCTTTGTCATACTTTATACATAAAAAAAAGAAGGAAAAGTTGATTCTGAGAAGATGGCAAAGGGTAGGATAAGAAGAAAGCTCCTAAAGAGCCATCTTTATACGTTCTGCCTATATCCAGGTGCTGCTGGCAAGGCGGGACAGTCCGTTGGAGGGCCTGGATTCTCAAGAATTGTGCATTGCAATGAACCTCAAATGCATAGCCAGAAGCCTTTTAAATATCGAGCAAATGACATATCAACGACCAAGTATAGTTTCCTCAGTTTCTTGCCAAAAGGATTGTATGAACAATTCAACCGAGTTGCCAATCTGTACTTCCTCGGATGCGCGATCGCTTCCCTTACGCCGCTCTCGCCGTTTTCCGCCGTGAGCATGATCGCGCCCTTGGCTTTCGTCGTGGGGCTGAGCATGGCGAAGGAAGCTTTGGAGGATTGGCGCAGGTTCATGCAAGATATGGAGGTTAATAGTCGTAAAGTTAAGGTTCATACAGGGGAAGGAGCTTTCAACAAAACGGCGTGGCAGAACGTTCGGGTCGGAGACGTGGTGAGAGTGGAGAAGGATCAGTTCTTCCCTTCTGATCTGCTACTATTATCGTCGAATTACGAGGACGGAATTTGTTATGTGGAGACCATGAATTTAGATGGTGAAACAAACTTGAAGGCCAAGAGAGCTTTGGAGGTGACCTTGGATTTGGATGAGGATGAGGATTTCAAGAACTTCAAAGGAGTAATCAAATGTGAAGATCCCAATCCTAGCCTTTACACCTTTGTTGGTAACCTTGAATACAATGGCCAAGTTTATGCCATTGATCCTAGCCAAATTCTCCTTCGAGATTCGAAACTTCGGAACACGGCGTTCGTCTATGGGATTGTGATTTTCACTGGCCATGACAGCAAGGTCATGCAGAACTCCACCAAGTCACCTTCCAAGAGGAGCAGAATAGAAAGGAAGATGGATTATATAATATATGTTCTGTTCAGCGTCCTCCTTGTGATCTCATTGATCAGCTCTTTCGGATTTGCCGTGGAAATAAAGTACAATATGCCGGAGTGGTGGTTCATGCGACCCCAGCAAGCCGATGAGTACTATAATCCCAATGAGCCTGTAACATCAGGGATTAGCCATATGGTGACTGCCCTCATGCTGTATGGATATTTGATACCTATTTCGCTTTACGTTTCGATTGAGGTGGTGAAGGTTTTGCAAGCAAGCTTTATTAATCAAGACATACTTATGTATGATGAAGACACAGGGATTCCTGCTCAGGCACGGACATCGAATTTGAATGAGGAATTGGGACAAGTAGATACAATCCTTTCGGATAAAACCGGCACTTTGACCTGCAATCAGATGGATTTTCTCAAATGCTCCATTGCTGGTACCGCATATGGTTCGAGCTCTAGTGACATTGAACTTGCTGCTGAACAACAGTTGACTAATGACCATGTGAACAAAGTTGAACTTGAGGCTGTTGTGAGTTCCCTCGGTGAAAAGGATCATAAATCTCCCATAAAAGGCTTTAATTTCGAGGACAGCCACCTCATGAAGGGGAACTGGTTGAGAGAGCCTAAAGTAGAAGACATCATTTTATTTTTCCGGATATTAGCAGTTTGTCACACCGCCATCCCTGAGCTGAATGAAGAGACCGGCACTTATACATACGAAGCAGAGTCGCCCGATGAAGGAGCCTTTCTTGTTGCAGCCAGAGAATTCGGTTTCGAGTTTTTTCAAAGAACTCAATCAAGTGTGATTGTCCGTGAAAAATATACAGCTTCTGGAAAACCAATTGACAGGTTGGAAACCAAATGTACATTGTTTGTTCTCTTTACTAAGCCCTCCTGAATTTTCTTTGTTTTGAGTATCTCAATGCTCCTCCTGTGGACATCTTGTAGGGAATACAAAATTCTGAATGTGTTGGAATTTACCAGCAAAAGAAAGCGAATGACGGTTATCGTAAGGGACGAAGATGGGCAGATTCTTCTCATGTGTAAAGGTGCTGACAGGTTAGTCTCTCTGTTGTACCTTGACCTCATCAGGGTGTGCACAAGGTAGCCTGCACATGTGTTTGCCTTCAATGGAACTGATTGTTTTTGTTCGATCTGTTGTTCCTCCTTTTGTCGCAGCATTATCTTCGATCGGTTGTCAAAGGACGGAAGATTGTATCAGGCAGATACCACTAGGCATTTGAACGAGTACGGAGAAGCTGGACTGCGTACGTTGGCTCTGGCTTATAAAAAGCTCGAGGAGTCCGAGTATTCTGCTTGGAATACTGAATTCCAGAAAGCAAAAACATCCATTGGGGCTGATAGAGATATAATGCTCGAAAAGGCTGCAGAGATGATGGAGCGGGACTTGATTCTCATCGGTGCTACTGCTGTCGAGGACAAATTGCAGAAAGGGGTATGTCTTATCCTAGCCTGCTTTCTCTAAGAACCTTCTCTTTTCTTTACTTCAGCCTTCTTTAAGTTCTCTTCATATCAGGTACCCAAATGTATCGATAAACTCGCACAAGCCGGGCTGAAGCTCTGGGTTCTAACAGGAGACAAGATGGAAACTGCTATAAATATAGGGTCGGTCTCCTGCCATTTATCTTGTCGTTATTTTCCCTGTTAATGGAAACCTGAAAGGTCAAAAGTTTCTCTGTGTGATGCAGATATGCTTGCAGTTTGCTAAGACAAGGCATGAAACAGATCTGTATTCAAGCGAACGATTCAGATTCCATAGAGGTATGTACTCCTCAGTAAAGGAGGACATCAATTTTTCTTCAGGAAATTGATAGCATTTGATGTTAGACTTTTTTTGCTTTCTTGTTACTGATTAGAAAATCAAGGGGGACATATTGAAGCAAATTAACAATGGTTTGCAAACGATCAAAGACGAAAAAGATCCGTATGCTGCATTTGCAGTAATCATTGATGGAAAGACTCTTGCATATGCCTTGGAAGATGATATGAAACATCGATTCTTAGACTTAGGAGTTCAGTGTGCATCTGTCATATGCTGTCGTGTGTCTCCGAAGCAGAAGGCACTAGTAAGATTTCTTTTCTAATTCTATCCCTCCTACAATTTTCTAACTTACTAATGGATCAAGTCAGGTGGTGTCCTTGAGTGTGTATTCTCATTCTTTTTTGGCACCAGGTAACAAGATTAGTAAAAGAAGGAACTGGGAAGACCACCTTAGCGATTGGCGATGGTGCGAACGATGTTGGAATGATTCAAGAAGCCGATATCGGGGTTGGCATCAGTGGTGTGGAAGGTATGCAGGTTGGTACCTCACTCGTCCTACAGTTTCAATATATTCCTCTAATGATACTAGCAAATGAATCTTTTATTTAGTTCTCAACTGCAGTTATTTCCCTTTTGCAGGCTGTAATGGCTAGCGACTTCTCTGTCGCCCAGTTTCGTTTCTTGGAAAGACTTCTTGTTGTCCATGGACATTGGTGTTATAAGAGGATTGCACAGATGGTAATAAAGAGGGATTTGTGTGCATTAATGGTTCATTTTCTTGCTTTTTTAATGCATGATATTTTTGGATTTAGATTTGCTATTTCTTCTACAAGAATATAGCTTTTGGCCTCACCCTCTTCTACTTCGAGGCATTCACGGGCTTTTCCGGACAATCAGTTTACGATGATTGGTACATGTTGTTCAACGTCGTTCTTACCTCATTGCCTGTGATCTCACTTGGAGTTCTCGAGCAGGATGTTTCGTCTGAGGTTTGCTTAGAGGTTAGTTTGTAAACGCTTCTTTCGACATCAATTCATCCATGTTATGGTTTAGATTTCACTTATAAGATCTTGCCTCCACATTTCTGTTGCAGTTTCCTGCAATATATCAACAAGGACCAAGGAATTTGTTTTTCGACTGGTATCGTATACTGGGGTGGATGGGAAATGGCCTACTGGCATCTCTCATCATTTTCTTCCTCAACATTGTCATCTTCTATAACCAAGCTTTCCGTATTGGAGGCCAGACCGCCGATATGACTGCCTTGGGTACAACAATGTTCACCTGCATCATTTGGTCTCTCAACATCCAGATTGCGCTCACAATGAGCCACTTCACATGGATCCAACACGCCACAATATGGGGCAGCATTGTCACTTGGTATCTATTTCTCGCGGTTTATGGTGCGTTATCTCCCGATATCTCCGGCAACGCCTACCAAATTCTAGTGGAAGCCCTTGCGCCTGCACCAATGTACTGGACAACCACCCTCTTGGTTGCAATCACCTGCAACCTCCCTTACATGGCTCATATAGCTTACCAAAGATGTTTGGAGCCAATGGATCATCACATCATCCAAGAGATCAAGTACTACAGGAAAGACGTCGAGGATCAACACATGTGGAACAGGGAACAATCGAAGGGGAGACAGAAAACGAAGATCGGGTTCACCGCACGCGTAGAGGCAAAGATCAGGCTACTTCAATCGAAGATGCATAAAAAACAATAGCCTTTTTTGAAGATTTTTAGGGTTTTTTTTTACTATTACCCATTTATTGATCTCTTTAGATTATGATTCCACTGATTGTACCGAGGCTATTGTACTGAATGTACACTACTTCACACATACAAAAAAGGAATTCTCAAACTGTGAAAATAATCTGTAAATCTGCAAGAATGTTGAAAAACTGTTGATGTAAAGAAGAAAAAAGACGGTATGAAGCAAGTAATTATTTTTGAACTCATTGCAGTATTTTTTTCATAGCAAGATGATGATTATAAATGTGTGCTTTTCCTGGTATTTAACATCTTTAAACTGAAAACTACTTCCAATTATAACAACAAAACAAAGTGTAAAAACTTGAACATCTTCAACAAATTCTCATGATTCAAACTCAAAATCATATGAACACTGCTAGATGACAATATCTTGATAAGACTAATAGCACCCCACTTCAGAAACTCAACCAATAAGCATAGATTTCCACATTTTATTACCAGATAAGCACACATATATGATTCAATAGCTGTATATAAGAATCACAAATCTTTCATATTCAAGAACTATGGGCTAAGGGAAAAATTCCCAGATCCCAATTTGTTCTGAGCATCACTTCCAGCCATAGAGGACTTGGGTGTAGGTGTCCTTGATCCACCTGAAGCTCTTCCTTAAAGACCCTTTCATCTTGCCTTCAACTGCGTAGACCTTGTAGCTAGCAACCCTTTTCTTCCTCTGCAACTCAGGGTCATTAAATCCCCAGCTTTTTGAAGAAGAAGAAAGAGAGCTTTTGGTTTTCTTGATCTTAATCTCTTTGCCGAGTTGACTGGGTTGGACATGAACAGAGTTGGTGGCATAGCTAGCACTGTAACACCTCAAGTCTTGCATGCTGGTAGGGCCTCCTCTTCCATGGTAACTCTCCATCTGCATCCCTCCATCCCTGTATGATTTGGATCTGAAATCGTCCATGGAATTGCAGATGGAATTGCAGAGGGAGGTTGTGGCGGTGGTGAAGGAGAAAAGTAGATACTTTTATTTGTGGAGTTGTTGAATAATGGGAGGAGGGTGGGATGCCCCAACTTCCATGTGATGATGCTTCATGTTTGACTTGGTAAACCATCCCAAAATGATTTTTTTTTCATCTTTAGATAAATCAGATGCATTTGCTATTAAAATTTGACTGAGAATTGAGAGATTGTCCAAATTTTACAGCATTTTTAATAGCAATTGATGTGCGTGGCAGTACACGTACATGATTTTACTGTAGAAAGCTCCTTCAACAGCTTGACGTTGACAAATATCAGGCAAATGATTTATTAATTTCCTAATTGAAAATATGTAACCATCCAATTTATTTCTCCACTTAATTCTTAAAAATAAAATAAAATCTTCTCAATTCTCCTAAACTCATTTATTCATTTAATTTTCTACCTTTAAATAAGCAAATCCAACCATTTGATAATTGAAAATTCAGATTATATTGTTTTTATCTTTTTTCCCATTCATTCATTCATCGTTCTGATTATCGAACATATTCCTTTATTTAAGAATCATAAAATTAAAATAAAATTGTGTTCTTTTATTAGTTTGAATGAAGGGTGTTGTGGGAGTTTAGATGATGAGTTTGGTCCTATATGTTAAGATGGGATCTAATTGAAGTTGTTGGTAATGGTTAGAATGGTATTGGTTGTGTTGAGGTGAGACTTGAAAATAAAATTAAAAACTTATTAAAAATTAAAAGATAATTATCATATTCGTATTCAAGATTAATATGTGAAGTAATCTAATATTTTACTGTAAATTTTTTTGGTCGAAAAGAAGTTGAAGTAAAAATTAAAAACATATATTATGAGTCAACTTACTTTAATGGTTAAAAAATTATTATTTTTGAGCCATTGGAAGAGTTTTTACATGAAAAAAAACCATTGGATTAAAGAGAGAGAAACTAGAATTATAGGTTAATCTGATTAAAAGCGGACAAAATAATATACAAAAATCTTATTAAATATATTATAACTTTTTAAATTGAATATAATAACATTTTAAATGAATGTCTCGTCATGATTTATGTTTGATAAGTTAAATGTGTTGACTCATAGAAAAGAAAAATAACAAAGAAGGCCTTATTGATATGCTTGGGTCACCGACGGAGCCACAGTATGTTGAAGGTATTTTTTTTAATTTTGTCTATATAAATTATATAAATATAATATAAAATAAAAAATAACACCCATTTTTAAAAGATTTTGACCCCTTTAAAAAATTTGACCTTACATTTTAAAAAATATTTAATAATAAAAATTTCAAAACTCAATTTTCTCATTTAAAAAAAAATTCTTCATATAATAAGCACAACATTTGGGTAATGGCCGTTACAACAAAATAAGCACAAGGGCTAGGGAAAACCAAGAGAGGAAAATAAAAGAAAAAAATGTTCAGGCGGCCATAGGGGAGAAAACATGAAAAACAAGGAAGCAAAAAGTCTCAGAAAAGTCGAGATTTCCTTGTTCCGGTGATAAGCACCATGATTGTAATCAACTCTGTCAACTGCGATTGATGCCACCATCATTCGATGTGGGATAAACCACATTGTTAAAGCAAGAATCATAAAAGGAAACGAAAACCTTGCCTCATGTCGAGATGCAATCCGTCACTGGAATATCCCAATAATAATCCAATGTGATGGTTACATCGAAGACTGCCCCTAGTATTTTATGGGTAAGACGGTTAAAACTGAAAAACACTTGGTCTTAAAATATTATGTGCTTTCTACACGAAAAATATCAGCATCCCAAACCGTGCCTTTTGGGACAAAACAAAATATAAGTTAGAAGGGTTTGGTAGGAGAAGAGAAGTAAGATTCACACTTACAATTCCAACCGAGCAGGAACAAGACCAGAAGGTAGGCTAGAAAAGCCCTAAAGAACATCAAGAAGCCTCTAGGTACTTAAAATACTTGTATAAGTTTGGAATCATGATGGTTCCCCTATCTTAATTTATGTTGTAGAGTTTTGCGATGGCCAATAGTTCCGAGTGTGGTCTCGAATATAGGATGGAGAGTCAAGCCTCTTAACCCGTTAGTGTCAGTAAGGAGTTTTTGCCTAGAGCAGAGGATCAAGGGATCCCGTTAGACGCGAGAGTCACAGAGGTGACATTCTTTAGAGGTTTGAATTTTGCTCCCAAAGAGATAATGAACATCAATCCTAGAATGTAGACTATTGATAATTTCATAAAAAGACTATATTTTAGGTCTTTTTACTTAAGTTATTAATTGTCTAAAAGCCATTGCCATAGCATTTTAGCTGCATATAGTTGCATTTAGGACATATTTTCATGTGGTGAATAAGTTTTGCCAAGGCAAAGTTTATTTGATTAAATTGATGCTGCTGATGAGAAAGGTTGTTTGTTGATTGTGATGATGCAGGAAATGACTGAGGAAAAATTTATTTGCCAAAACAAATTAATTTGCTAGGGCCAATGGAACACAGAAGACGAAGACAATGAGGAACTGATTTTCCTTGCCAATGCAAGATTTATCTTGCAAGTCTGACGCAGATCTGACAAACTACTGATGCCACCTGCCAGCTGTCAAGAAAACACGTGCAAGCAAGCCCCCAAGATTCTGAAAATATTCAGTCGCCTTTTCATTTGTAGCTTGGACAAGAAAAAACGGGTATTTAGGGAATTTTCAAGGACACAAAATCCTAGAAATTCCCATCCCCATTATAATTCTTGGAAAAGGGGAGAATCATACAGAGAAAATACCCTAGGCTTGGAAAAAGGCTGTCGAGATGTCATTTTTTCCACTGTTTCCCACTCGTCCGTCATTGGTGCCCTCCATAACGAGGCTTCGCCGGGGCGGCGGCCAGGCCCTCGAGAGAGGCTGGTACGCTGGAGCAGTCATGGTGGTGGTCTGATGTCACGACATAGCTCTGTTCTGGGAGTTTTTCTTCCTCTTGTTCTTCATGTTTTATTTTTATAAGGGCTTGTACTTAATGAATATTTTTGGGATGATGTTAACCACACCATAAAATATTTTATTTGGTGTTGGAAATACTTGGATGATATTTTATTTTACCGTTAATGAATTATTAAGTATGTTTTTGTTAAGTGTTATTTTGTTCACCGTTTTAACCTTTTTCTTTGACACTGTAAGAGCATCGAGAGATTGCCTGGTGCCTAGGCGAAACATTTCTAGTCCTTGTAAGAGCTTTTGAGAGATTTCTATTTTTCTAGAAATATATTTTTAGATTCGATAGAATTAATATAGATATACGTGAACAAAATAGACCCGAGATGGTGATATTCTAACTTACATGCCTTAGAGATATGGAGAGGGTTTCAATCGACTAAAAGGGATAAACGCTAGAGTATGATAGATAAGGACTGTAGTTCACGCTGAGGGGTATTGCCACAACAACAGTCTGATAAACCAAGGGTTGTAGCTCACTCCGAGTAGTATTACTATAGAAACCATCTAAGAATGCTTAGTAATCCTGTCGGGCAGCCTAAGCATAGCATACCAAATCATTCTTAGCATAAAATAACTTCTCACCGTAGCAAAACCAACCTAAGTGCTCCGTTAGAAGTCTAATTGTGTGCGGTTGCCAATCTATTTACAGAGTTTTGATAACTTTAGCCTTGATAATTTTTATTTGTTTACCTTTGCATATTTTTCTTTCCTCGACAAAACTTTTCTGCTCACTTCACTTTACAATTTTGCTTGCCTCGGCCATACTTTTTTCTATTTGTTCATATCATTTGCCACTGCATATTTTCCTTGTTTATATCATTAGACTTAGACACTTAGGATTAGTTAGTGACACCTATTCCTAGTTGTAGCATTCTTTTAAAAGCCCTCAAATACCTGTGGAGACGATACTCACTCACTACTATATTACTTGCATCGATTGTGTACACTTGCATAGATTTGTTTGCCTTAACATATACATTTACAAGCGATCAAGGTTTTGGTGCCGCTGCCGGGGATTGTCAATTGATGTTTTTAAAAGTTTTTGTATAGCATTATCTTGTTTCTTTTTTATTGTATTTTTTATTTTATTTTTATGGATTTATTCGCTATTTTTGTTTACCCTTTTCAGGTGTTGTGCGGTTGCATAACTTGTAGAAGTCACAAGGAACCATTATCTCATTTTGAACCTGAGATCAAATTTTTTTTGCCAAAGAAGATATGTTCAAGGAGCTCAAAAAGATATATACGAAGTTAAAAATGAAGTGGAAAAACCTGAAGAATTAAATGCCACAGCAAATAAAAATGCGAAGAATGTTGTGAGACCACGAACTATTAGAGATCACTTAGTTCCCACATTGGATGACCTTAAGCCTGCTATTGTAGTTCCCAAGATTCAGGCAAACCACTTCCATCTCAAACTGATTATGTTCTACATGTTGGACTTGATTGGACAGTTTGGTGGTGCTCCTTATGAGGATGCAAGACAATATGTTCGAGCATTTTTGGAGGTATGTGACTCTTTTCGACAACAAGGTGTACATGGAGATGTGCTGAAATTGAAGTTATTTCCATATATTTTTAAAGATCATGCCAGGGAATGAATTAATGGACTATCTTCCGGCTCAATAAGGTCTTGGGTAGATTTGTGCAAACAATTTTTGCTATGGCATAATCCACCCAATATGAACAACCATCTTAGGAATGTCATAACATCTTTCTTCCAAGGCAATGAAGAGTCTATGTATACGTGTTAGGACCGATACAAAAGTTTGCTTCGTAAGTGCACTAATCATGGATTCCACAAATGGACTCAAATTGTGATGTCCTACAATAGAGTCAACACACCTACTCGTATTATGTTAGATGCCTCGGTGAATGATACTCTGATTGACAAATCACCCGAGGAAGCCTTTGACATCCTTGATAGGATAGCAAACAACGATTATCAATTCTCATCTACAAGGCTAGGAATCGACATGAAAGTGTATGGGGCATTTAAACTTGATGCCAAGGATTCAGTGTCTACCCAACTTTCTGCCATAACAAATATGTTGAAAAATTTACAGCGTTCCAGCGAGGTGAAAGAAGTCAAGGTAACCAGCTCATCATGCA